TCTTGTCATCAGGAATGCTCAGAAGTCCTTTTTTTTCCATTAAGATTCCATTGTTTTCTCTGCGGGATTACACTGAGTTTTTCTAGGTAAGTTGTTCTTGGTTGTAAGCCTATAGTTTTTGCCATCTGTAATATCATATTCCAAGCTTTCTGTTTCTTTAGGGGAGTGGGTACTAAATCATGTGTGATCCTGATTTTGGCTCCATGGTGTTTGAATTCTTTCTTGCTGACTGCTTACAGAATTTTTTCTTTGACCTGAAAGTTCTGGATTTTGGCAGTAATGTTCCTAGGAGTTTTCATTTTGGAATTTCTTTCAGGAGATGATTGGTGGATTCTTTCTATTTCTGCTTTGCAATCTGGTTCCAAGAGAACTGGGCAATTTTCTGTCATGATTTCTTGAAATATGGTATGTAGGCTCCTCTTGTGCAATGATTCTTAAATTTTCTTTCTTCATTCCTTCTTCCAGGTCAGTTTTGCTGTGAGATACCATACATTTTCTTCTATTATTTTACCAGTCTTTTGACTTTGTTTTAATATTTCTTGTTGTCTCACGTGCGGTCATTGTCTCCTCTTGGTACATTCTAATTTTCAGGGAGTTTGTTTCTTGAGCAAGGTTGTATACCTCTTGTGCCATACTGTTCATTCCCTTTCTGTTTCTTTCTTCTCTAGCTCTCATTTCTTCTCCATTTTTTTTTCCTCTAACATTCTCATTTCACTTATTAAAAAAAAATTAACTCTTAAAAAAAAATTCTTGCTTTATCTCTTCCAGGAATTCTAGCTGAATTTGTGGCTCAGCTGTGTTTCTCTCTGAGAGATGTGTTGGAGTAATTTTCTTCTTCTGGGTTTAAGTATTGGGTATCTATGTTACTGTAATTGCTTTTTGTAGTGAGATTTTATTTTTTTGGGTGGAGGGTTGTTTGCTTATTCTTCCAGCTTACTTCTTGACTTTGGATTTTATGTTAAGGCAATCTTTGCACATTTCTGAAAGGAATGTCTAGGTGGACCCTGTATCTATTAGGCTCTTGCTGCTGCTTTCTTGGGGTATTGATTGTGTTATTCCAAGAGCTTAGGGATAGTTTAGGCAAGTGCTTCCAAAGCATGAGGATCCAGGGAAAGTCTGATTAATAACCTCCTTGTTTGAGCTCTGTCAGTTTCTAGCCTGAGTTTGTGCCTAAGCAAAATACCTCTGTGCTTGCCCTTGCATGGAGTTCCAGTAGACTGTTCCTGAATGCAACTACTATATACCTACTAGAAAGCTTCACTGATTCAGAGCAACAGAACTTTAGGTATCCTTTCTTTTGTTCTAGGATTTCAGACCAGGCTGGAAGTTGGAACTGAGATCCTGCCCCACTTGTGGGGTCAGCATCCCACAGATGCTGCTTGCTTCTGAATTTGCTCCTTGCCCAGCACACAGTCCAGGACCCTGGGATTATTCCTCATCTTGGGTGAATGACCTGGGTGGAAGACCTCTCATCTTCAGTCCATCCTGGATCAGTGATCTGGAACTTGGTAGTAAATGACAGAGTTTCTTGGAGGCACCTATTCCTGTACCCTGCAGAAGATTAGGCCCCTCTATATTGGATCTGGTATCTCTTTTTGCCCTAGTGCTCAGCTTCTTCCTGTGCTGGAATGTTCTGTGTGGCCCCTCCTGGCTAGACCTTCTCTCCAATGTCCAGAGAATTCCCTGTTTCCATGTGTCAATCTGGGCTGGGAAAATGATTCCCTGTGATTTTTTCTTGGATTTCCTGCTCAGGACTCAATCTTTTGTGGAGAGAGGGGGTGTGGAGGAGAGCTCTGCTAGTCCCCTCTCTGCATCATTTCTTGCTTCTTACCAAATTTCTCTGAAATCTTCATATTCATTTTTCTTAAAGTACAATAGTATCCCATTACACGCATACACTACAGTTTGTTCAGCCTTTTTCCAGTGCGTAGCCATCTACTTTCCTTTCAGAGTCTTGCTGCTATTAAAGGTGTTTCCACAAATGTTTTTGTTATGTATGGGACCATTCCCTCTGTCTTTGATCTCTGTGGGGTTTGTGCCTAGTAGTGATACCATTGTGTCAAAGGATATGTGAAATTGAGTGACTTTTCTGGAATAATTCTGAATTGAATAGATGCTTAAGAAATATTGATTGATTGACTGTTTCCCAAAATGGTTGGAACAGTTTAGAGCTTCACCAGCAGTGCATTAGTGTGCCTGTCTCCTTGCAGTCCCTCTAATTTTGACCATTTGTTGCTTCTCATCTTTGCCAATCTGGGTGTGAGGTAAAACCTCAGTTGTTTTAATTTATGTTTCTCATATTAGTAGGGATCTGGACCGTTTTATCTCATGGGTTGAATTTTTTTTTAAACTGACTATTCCTGTTCTTTTGCTTATTTATCTAGTAGGGAATGGGTCTTGTTCTCACCTGTGAAGTGAGCAGCAGGACATCTCCATTGAGATGAAGATATCTGCTTTACCAGCAGCCCCAGTTCTTCATAAGAAGGAAGCCATATGGAAGAGTTGCCCATCACATAAAGGAACCTGTCTCCCCCAGGACTGACTAAGCTTCTTTTACAGATGCACGCCTGGCTTCTGGTTCCCCGTTTCTCATGCTAGTCGGCTCTGCAGTGTTCTCTTCTTTCCGGCATTGCTGTTTTTCTCTCAAAATCTGTCTTGGTTTGTTTTTGTGATGCTTGTATTTTGGTTCCCACTCCAGGCCTGTCCTGCGCTCTCAGCCTTAGCATTTCATGGCCACTTCCTCTGTCATTGCATCCCCATCCAGTATTAACCACCAACTTCCTGCCCTATCCCGGGCCTCAAGCCTGGTCTACTGACAAATAAGCCCTCATCTGTCACAGCAAGAGTAGAGCAGTTTTGACATTGTTATTTCCCCCCACCCCCTACCCCCATCCATACCATTCTCTGTACACTCCAGTCCATTTTGTGTACCCTTCCCACTTTGGCCCAGTGGATGGAGTGCTGGGTCTGGAGTCAGGAGGTCCTGAGTTTAAATCTGGCCTCAGACACTTGGCAGCTGTGTGACCCTGGGCAAGTCACTTCACTGCTATGTGCCTCAGTTTCCTCAGCTGTAAAATGGGTATAATAACAGCACCTACTTCACAGGATTGTTGTGAGGATCAAATGAGATATTTATAAAAAGTGTTTAGCACAGTAGCTGGCATAGAGTGTTGTTGTTCAGTTGTTCAGGCTTGCAGGCCCTTCTGGTCCATGGGGTTTTTTTGGGCAAAGATAGTCTAGCTGTTTACCATTTCCTTCTCCAGTGGACCACCTTTTGTCAGAACGCTTCACTATGACCTGTCCATCTTGGATAATCCTACATAGATCATAGTTTCATTGAGCTATGCAAGCCCCACTGCCACAAGGCAGTGATCCAGGAGAAGTGGCACATAGTAGGTGCTATATAAATGCTTATTCGCTTCCCTACCAGAATGGTTTTCCTCAAACTATTTTCATATCATTCATTTGCTTAAAAAGTTTCAATGGGTGCCTGTACCTTTTCCATCTAGTACCAACTACTCTGCCTAGTTTTTAAGTACTCTGTAATCAGACTATCTAACATGCTATTGAATACAAGCTTTCTAACCTTATGACCTACTTTTGTGCTGCTCCTCACTGCCTTTCCATCCTCAACAAGGTAGTATCCTTTCTTACTGCCTGTCCTGTGACTGTACCTTGCTCTCTCTCTCTGCCTTTTCTTTTGACACATCTCCTTGCCTGGAATACTCTCATTCCTAAATTCTACCCCTCCACCTCTTTCCCAGCTTTTGATGTCTGGCTCAAATCCCAAGTCCTCCATCAGTCTTCCCTGATTATTTTTACTTCCTCTCTCTCCAACCTCTTCCTTATGATTTCTATCACATAATTCACTTCAGTATCTCAAAAGAGATGTATGTGGGTGCTACCTTCACCCACAAAGACAACTCTTGTGCGTCACAGCTGATAGTTTCATCCTTGACATGACTAATCAGGTGATTTACTTCTCTAAACTTCCTTACTAGTCCTTACATGATAATCCATTACCTGGCCAATAGTCAGGACCTGCCAGCACTTGAGTTGTCCTGGGATGGGAAGAACCCAGGAACCATCTACCAACCATGAGGAGGCCGCACAATTTAGCACTTAATCATTTACTCTTTGATGTCTCTCATCATTTTGTAATTTTGTTTTTGCCTCTCCAACAAGGTCCTGAGCTCCTTCAGGTTAGGAATCATGCCTCTTACTTGCATATTCTTATGGAGCCTAGAACAATGCTGGGCAATGCATATATGCTGTTTAATGGGTAAGGTTATATAAGAAGAAGGCAACTGAATTGTGGAGTGCTCTGAAAGCCATTCTGATGAATTTGGACTTTATCCTAAAAGAAATCAGGAGCAATTGGTTTTAAGTAGGAGAGAGATGTGATGAATGTGTTTTTAAAAGTTCAGTCTGGGGGCAGCTAGATGGTCAGTGGATAGAGTACTGGCCCAGAAGTCAGCAGGACCTGAGTTCAAATCTGGCCTCAGACCAAACACTTGACACTTACTAGCTGTGTGACCCTGGGCAAGTCACTTAACCCCAGTTGCCAAAAAAACAAAAAATTCAGTCCAATAGAGGCAGTGATTCAGAGAGAAGAGGCCCTGGAGGCAAAGAGACCATTGTTAGGGGACTGCTGCTGTAATCCAGGCACAAGATGATACTTGTCCATCTAGACAAGGTGGGAGGCAACATGGTCCAATGAAAAGAACTCTGGTTCAAATCCTACCTCTGTCATTTATTACCTGTGTGACCTTACTCAAGTCACCCAACTTTCCTGGACCTGTTTTCTAATCTGTAAAATGGGATGGTTAGACTAGCTTTCTTCTGAGATCCCCACCAGCACCAGATGTATGATCCTGCCCTACAGGCTGGTAGCAGTGAGAATGGAAAGAGATGAAATGTGAAATCCATAGCCAGGGGCTGGTTTAGAAAAGTCACATTTCTCAGTTGAATAAGCAGCATTTTCAACTCTTTCCCCACAGTGAACTGCCTGATGCCAAATCTCGAGCCCTGGATAACATTGGCAGGGTCTTTGCAAGAGTTGGGAAATTCCAGCAAGCCATTGACACGTAAGTAAACAGGCACCCCCTGCCCTGGGCTCCCCACCCTCCTATAGTGCTCTGATGATGACAGGGACCAGACTGAGAGGAGGAACAGCAGCAGGACATACAGAACGCGGCTCATCCTGTTCTGTTCTATTGAAGGTAGCTAGGAGGCTCAGTAAATACAGGGCCGGGCCAGGAATTAGGAAGACCTGAATTCAAATCCTGCCTTAGACACAAACTAGCTTTGTAATCTAGGCAAGTCATATAACCTCTCAACCTGTTTCCACATCTATAAAATGGGGATGATACTAATAGCATTTACTTCCCAGAGTTATTATGAAGATCATATGTCTATAACATACATAGAGTGCTTTGCAAACTTTTAAGCTCTGTATAAATGTTAGCTAGCTGTTATTAGCTGTTATTATTATTCTCCAAAAACAGAAGTTTATTTCCAACTAGCTGTTAGCTCTAAACTAGTTGAATTTTCAGATACACTACAGAGTAACTGGGAAAAAAAAGGCACCAGCAAGGCACAACAGTCCCAGAAGGGCCTACCTATAAGAGCCCAATTCCCTAACAGCTGATGATTACCCAAAGGTTAATAAGTACCTATAATAGGATGGCCTCAGTTCAACATGCTGAATGCTAAGCTAGGTGCTCAGGAGGGATGGATATAGAATGGCGAATGCCATATAGCCTCTATCCTCAAGGAGTTAACAGTAGAAAATGGGGAAGGAGACATTCCCAAAGGGGAATGGTAAGGAAGCAATGGCCAGGAAATAACCACAGGGAGAATTGAGATATGCCTGATCATGGCAATGGTAAGGGAGGTATAAAAGTCACCTCTGCTTGGTAATTTTTTTTTTTAAGGCAACTGGAGTTAAATGACTTGCCCAGGTCACACAGCTAGTAAGTGTCAAGTGTTTGGTCTGAGGCCGGATTTGAACTCAGGTTCTCCTGACTTCAGGGCTGGTGCTCTATCCACTGTGCCACCTAGCTGCCCCTGTCACCTCTGCTTGGAAAGGTCACAAGGAAGACCACTGTTCTTCCCAAAATTCAACTAAAACAGTGATTTTCCAGGACAGATATGCCAAGCCAGAATTGACCCATAAACCATTGGCAAATTGACCAGAAGGATAAAATACAACTCAAATGCTGACAAGACAAGGGTCTAAGGTCAGTTATCTCAACACTGGTGATTTCCAAGCCCTCCACCAAAGTCCAGAGTGACTTTGTGACAAAAGCCCAACAACAGGAGCATAAAACTCTAGGCCTAGACCTGGGAACAGTCAAGTTCTTCTAAATGCCTGAGGACATGGGGGTCATCAGACTGAGAGGGGATGACTACAGAAGCCTACACTCTTGCCCATCTAATGTTCAGAATGGTGGTGGGAAAGTCAGTCAACAAGTATTTGTAGAATATATTCTGTGTGCTCAGGACAAGTTAAGGATATGAGGTACCTTGTAATTTATTTGTATTTATTATCATAATAATAAGAGCTGAATTGTATATAGTCCTATAAAGTTTGCCCAGCACTTTGCTATATGCATGACGCAGTCAGAAACTACCTAAGACGATATATCCTGATGTGGCAAATTATCAAAAGGAGGTCTTAGACCAGAATCTTTCTCCATTTCTTCTTTAGGAGAGACCAGGGTTCTAATTTCACCTTTAGGAGACTACCTCCACCCTGACCCTCTTCCCTTGTCTATGGTTGAGCTATGTTTTGCCCATAAGAAATAGAAATACCCAGTCACTTTGTGACCCTGAGTAAGCATTCCCTGAATATCAGTGTGTCTGTGAGGGTTTGGAAGTTTATTTGGTTGAACATAGAAAAAAGTTCAACTATTGAGCTGCTACAGAAAAGGGAGGAATATTCATTTGTATCCTCTTTCCCTAACCCTTGGAATATAGACCCTGCCAGTCTTGCCCACTTATCCCCTTTCTCCTCCTACCAGGTATGGCCTATTTTCTAGTTGCCTCTCTTGGTCCCATCCTTACAGAAGGATTTCTTTCCATATGGATTAAGGGAAACAATGGAGAAGGCAACTGTGACTCCCACAGGGTCCAACACCATCCCCTCTCCCCAATCAGACTGTCCACCTGCTTTTTTAAGTCATCCATTTTAGTCTAGCAGAAAAAAGAAGATCACATAGATATGGTTACATCTTTCTCTGCTTTTGAAAAGTTTATAAAATGTACCAATATGATTCTATTTCATATAGCTCAGGATTCCCTAGGTGGGATGTAATTGGTGACATTTTCACTACCCTACCCCTATCTCCTATCCCCTGGCTTTCCCTTCACAGTTATTTAGTATGTAGATAAGAAATAGTTAAGACTGACCAAATATAATGGGCATTAATGCTAATTAAGCAGAATCTGTGAATACTCTTTAAAGAACAGGAAAACTTTGGATTTCACTGGTCCCTTCTCTTGAATGGAAAGTCAGCAACCCCAGTGTGTGGGACAGAGACCACTTACTCAAAAATAAAAACAAAGACTTAGATACCTTGAAAGTAGAAAGGAATTTATTGCTTTCTCATGAGAAAGGGTACCCTCTTAGTCGCCATTGCAGGCCAGGAGAGTACGAGTTCCTTACAGAAGTAAAAGCTTATTTATGCCCTAATGCGAGCTCCTCCTCCCTAACCCCCTTCCCCTTATCCCATTGGCTGGGCTTTCAGGGGGTTCAGTCTATTCACAGAGACACAAGTTTGCCCAGAGACAAGAAAAGGCGGGAAGCTTTTCAAGGGCAAGCAGTTCAGGTTGGGGGCAGGACTATTCTTTCTGCTAAGTACTTAAAAACAGAGTCTGAGGGAGGAAGGGTTTTGAAAGCAACAATCAAGAACTATTAACAAGAATCTTTGACTCCCTGAGGAGGCTTCACTTCTGAGAGATCATCTCTTACACCAGTAACTCAGAGCCACTCCATGGGGTGCCTCTGACTGTGCCAGGGGCTGGGTACCAGAGGTAAATGGGGTTGAGGCTCTCAGAATGCTGGCTGAGGTTCTCCAGCTGCTTCCACATCCAGGCTCTCTGTCACTGGTCCCCTACTCAGATCTGGAGCCGAAATCAAAACTGAATGCCTGTATTGTTGTGAAGGTTCTCATCTCTTCATGTGCTTGCTCACTTCTTGCTTCTCTTCAGGAAATTTTCCCTCTTCCCTTGCTAGAGGATGAGGGAAGAATGGACAGGCTTTTTTTTTTTGTTTGGTTGGTTTTTTGGGGGTTTTAAAAAAATTTTATTAATTTATTTTGATTTATCAGTAATCACTTCCATATGCTTTTGAGTTTAAAAGTTTTCTCCCCGTTCTTCCCCACCACCCTCCCCAAGGTGGCGCACAGTCTGATATAGGCTGTACATTTACATTCCTGTTAAACATATTTTCACATTAGTGGTGTTGGAAGTAAAAAAAAAGTAGCAATTCAACTTTCGTAGTTCTTTCTTTGGATGTGGATAGTATTTTCCATCAGGAGGCCTCTGGAGATGTCTTAGATCCTTGTATTGCTTGGAAGGGGTAAGTTTATCAATATTAGTCATCGCACAAAGTAGCTGTTATTGTGTACAATGTCCTCTTGGTTCTGCTCACTTCACTCAGCATCAGACCATACAAGTCTTTCCAGGTTTTTCTGAAGTCTGCCTGTACATCATTTCTTATAGCACAATAGTATTCCATTACATTCATATACCACAACTTGCTCAGCCATTCCCCAATTGATGGGCATCCCCTCAATTTCCAATTCTTTGCCACCACAAAAAGAGCTGCTATGAATATCTTTGTACATGTGGGTGCTTTTCCCATTTGTATGATCTCTTTGGGATACAGACCTAGAAGTGCTATTGCTGGGTCAAAGGGTGTGCACATATTTATAGCCCTTTGGGCATAGTGTGGACAGTTTTTTTTTTCCGGTGGGCAGTAGCAGCCCTTCTGTTTCCAGAAACTCCCCCAGATGCTGAAGACCTGGCTTCTGAAGGCTAAAACTGGCTTCCAAATGCCCTGTTAAAATTAGTGTTGTTCTGTTCTAAGGGAGCTTTCTTTCTAGCAGCCTTTGAGTCAAAGATGCTCTCTTGGAGGGGAGGGGTCATATCTTTTTTTCATCCTGGCGCTTGAATGGAAAGTGTAAGCTTCTTAAAGGAAGGGATTGTTTTTTGATCTTACCTCCTCAAGGACTACCTGAGTGTCCCCAACATGGTCGGGGCTTAACAGATGCTTGTAGAATGAACTTAGGAATTAATGAATGGTGGACACTTAATGCTTCTTATTGAATTCTAATGACTTAGAGAATAATTACATTCCGTTAAAGCCTATTGTACTCTTTAAGTGCAGTAGGAATTCAGAGAAGGCCAGGATCAAATATTTTAAGTATAATTTTTTTAACATCTTTTGTCCAGTTCACAGATTAGATCATAGGATCCTAGATTTAGACCTGGAAGGGACCTTAGAGGCCATCAAATCAAACCTCATGTTACAGGTGAGGAAACTGAGTCTGAGAGAGACAAAGTGACTTGCCCAGGGTCACACAGCTATCAAATAGCAGGGATGGGACATAAATGAAGACTGAGATTTGAACAGGTCTCTAACTCCAAGTCCAGGGTACCTTCCCTCTGCTCTAGGAACTTCCCTCTTATACTAACTACAGAGAAAGAAGGAAAGACCCAACTCCTTTCCCTGAGGTCACTCAGCCATTAGGGTCCTACAGGAGAAAAGACAATCATTCACCTTCAAGTAAAGATGGCAGCAAGAATGCTTCCAACCCCTAGAGGGCACTGAGCTCACAAAAGAGAGTCTGTTAGCAAGGAATAAAGGAGCTAGGGGCCAGGTATTCAGATGAGGAAGATGCTAAAGTAAACATGTAATGTGTGGAAAAATTGTTCTTATTTTTTTCAATGAATAAGCATTTTCTCTTCATCCCACCTCACCCTCAAATGGGGGAACAAAAAAACAAGCCTTTGTAACAAATATACAGAATCAAGTGAAACAAATTCCCTCATTGGCTTTGTCCAAACTATAGATAGTTCT